GGGATTTAAATTTTTTTTAAAACTGCTGAAATAAAAAAAGACAACCTAGTTATTTAAAAAATAGACAAGACTTGAACAGGCAGTTCACTAAATAAATAAATAAAAGTGAAAAAGGAAACACAGTGGGGAGTAGCCAGGATGACTCAGGAAAACCCTGAGCTCACCTCCTTCCATGGGGACACCAAAATTACAACTATTTACAGAGCAATTATTTATGAGAAAAACCAAAAGACTAGCAGAAAAGATCTTCTACAGCTAAAGATATAAAGAAGGAACCACAATGAGATGGGTTAGAGGGATGGAGACATGGTATAGTCAAGACCCATACCCCCTGGTGCATGACCCACAAACAGGAGGATATTTACAATTGCAGAGGTCCTCCCCAAAGAGCGAGGGTTTTGAGCTCCACATCAGGCTCCCCAGCCCAGGGGTCCTGAACTGGGAAGATAGGCCCCCACAATGTATGGCTTTGAAGGCTAGCATGGCTTACTTTCAGGAGACCCGGGGGGCTGTGGGATAATAGACTCCACTCTTAAAGGGTGCGTACAAAACTTCACACACTTTGGGATCCAGGGCAGAAGCAATAATTTGAAAGGAGCCTGGGTCAGATGTGCCCTTGCAGAGCCTCCCGGAGAGGCAGGAGGCAATGGAAGCTCATCCCAGGGACACAGACAGTGGTGGCAGCCATTTTGGGGAGCTTGTTCTACTACGAGGGCATTGGTGCTGGCAAGCTCTATTTTGGAATGCCATTTTATGAGCTCTGGAACCCAGCCCTGCCCACCAGGAAAAATCTCAGTAGTAAAGGCAAATATACAGGAAAGGCAGTAAGTCAGCCGGATATAAAGCTAGTAGGAAGGTTAAAAGACAAAAGTATAAAATCATCTATATCTGCAATAAGTAGTTATGGGATACACAAAACAATAATGTAAAATATGACTTCCAAAACAGTAAACATGAAGGGTGGGTAAAAGTGCAGGGCTGTTAAAATACATTTGAACTTAAGAGATCAGCAACTTAAAATAATCATATATACGTATATATGTGTATATATATATATGGCTATGTGTAGTGTGGGGAACATAGTCAATAACTATGTAATATCTTTGTATGGTGACAGATGGTAACTAGACATTGCAGTGATCATTAAACAATGTATAGAAATATCGAATCACTATGTTGTGTAACAGGAACTAACATAGTGTTGTACGTCAATTATACTTCAAAAACAAACAAACAAACAAACTCATAGAAAAAGAGATCAGATTTGTGGCTACCAGAGGTAGGGATGGGGGTAGGGGCAATTGAATGAAGGTGGTCAAAAGGTACACACTCCCAGTTATAGATAAATGATTACTAGGGATGTAATGTACAGCATGATAAATATAATTAACACTGCTGTATGTTACATGTGAAAGGTGAGAGAATAAATTCTAAGAGTTCTCATCACAAGAAATAATTTTTTTTTATTTCTTTAATTTTATATCTATATAAGATGATGAACATTCACTAAATTTATTGTGCTAATCATTTCATGATGTATGCAAGTCAAAACTGTACACCTTAAACTTATACCATGCTGTATGTCAACTATATCTCAATAAAACTGGAAAAAAAGACAACACAGTTGGCCAATGAACACATCAAAAAGTGTTCAATCTTACTAGTACTCAGGGAAGTAACAAGTAAAAACATAATAATACCCCATTACATACCAAAACACAGTTGGCAAATTTTCAAGTCTGACAATGTCAAATTTGGCAAGCATGTAGAGCAAGGGGAATCTCATATTCTCACATACAGCTGGTAAGAGAATAAATTAAGATGCACTCTTTGGAAAAGCTTGGCTTTATCTATTAGAATGGAAAATACCCCCTACCTATGATCTAACAGTTCCACTAATGTATAAATACTCAAGAGGAATTCATGTTCATATACTAGGACACTATATGACAATGGTTATAGCAGCATTGTTCATGACACCAAAACAACCAAACAAACATACAAACAAAACACCGGGAAACTATCTAAATGTCCATCCATAGCTGACAAATAGAATCAACTAACTACAACTACATGCAAGAACACAGATGAACCACATGACATAAGCAACAAAACAAAACAAAACATATAGTATATATAACGTCCAAAACAGGCAAAACTAAACTATATTATTAGGGATTCATTTATAAGTGGAAAACTATAAAGAACAGTAAGGATATGGTTACGGTAAAAGTCAGGTTGATGGTTACCTTTGGAGGTGGGAAGATTATGAGGAGGAGAGGCAAACGGTAGGCTTTAGAGTGCTAATAATGTTCTTAACCTCGGTGGAGTTATACAAGAGAATGTATAATTTATAAATTTATAATCATTTCATAAATTTATAATCATTTATTAGACTGTACATATAATTTTATATTGCTAATATATTTATATGGCAATTCAAATCATTAAGTTAACATAGAAATTTAAAAGTTTTGCAGAGGTCATTATTATTATTCCATGTGTTCCTCTAAATTTTACAGCCCCCTTTGAAATTAGTTTGTTGCCAATGTGATTATTTCTGGCTAACAGGCTATTAGCAGAAGTCATATGTGTCCCTTCCAGTCTGAAGCACTTACAGTCATGAGTTCTCCATACTCCCTCTTTCCCTGCTGTGGCACGCCCTGAATCCACATGTTGAAATGGTAAAGCCACAAAATGTAAGCCAACTGGATTCCTGGATCCCAGCATGAAAGGGGGTTGTTCTACAAAACTGCTGGACAGTCAGAGGGATTTGCATGAATGAGAAATAAACTTCATGTTTAAAGCCATTAAGAGTTTAGGATTTAAATGTCTCTGCAGCATACCGTAGCCTGGGTTAAGAGCAAATTAGATAAAAAATAAACAGAGCTAAAAATATTAAACTATATGCTCCTCTGAATTTTCTTTTTAAAGTGAACTGTGAAATAGAGGTACAGTGGCATGGAAATAAAATGAGAAGGTCTAGAACATGTTTAATTACAGCTCCAGAAGAAAATTCTCCACAGACAATAGAGGAGAGGTATAACTGCTATATACCATATTTCAAAGTTGGTATAAGAATAAATCCTAAGAACTCTCATTACAAGGAAAACACCACTTTTTTCTTTCTCTTTTCTTCTGTATCTGTATGAGATGACGGATGTCAACTAAACTTATTAATCATTTCACAATATATGTAAGTCAAATCGTTACGCTGTACATCTTAAATTTATATAGTGCTGTATGTCAAGTATATCTCAATAAAAATGGAAAAAAATTCAATGTCAAGTTCTCATTCCTCATCCATTATGACTACTCAGTGGTATTTAGTATAGTTGATTCTTGAAATACTTCTTTACTTGACTCCCAAGACACCATAATCTACTCCTCTGATCATTCCTTCTAGATCTATTTTGCAAATTTCTCCTCCTCTCACCAATCTCTTCATGTTGGAGTGATCAGTGGCTTAGATCTTTGACCTTTATTCTTCTTCCTTTACACTCACACACGTGGTGATGTCATCCAATCTTGGGCCTTTAAGTATCTATATTCTGACACCTCAAAGTTACATATCTAAGATTTTCTCCCCCAATCCTGTTCCACCCACAGCCTTGTACATCCTAGTATATAGCTAAAGCCAAATTCTGGACTCATCCTTGACCCCTTTCTTTCCTCTCACAACCCATAGATCAACGATCTGGAAATCTGTTTGGCTCTACCTTCAAAATATTTGGAGAGTAACCACTACCCAACATCTTCGGTGTCCCTACTCTCAAGCGAACCATTTATCTATCATCTGAAATATGACAATGGCCTCTAAACAGATCTTGAGCTACTGCTGGCCCTCTAGAGACCATTCCCACCCCAGCAGCCCCAGAGGTTCTTTTAAAACTTACAGCCAATCATGCCATTCCTTTTCACAAAATCTAAGTGGCTCCCCATCTCACTCAAGAGTAAAAACCAAAATGAATCTAATAGCCTAAAAGACTTCACATGAGCTGATTCCAGTACCTTTTTATCCTTCTTTCCTCCTAGGTCCCATGTTGCTCATCCAGCCATACTGAGGTCCTTGCTGTCCCCCAAACACACCAAGCCCCTTCTTTCCCTTAGGCTATGCACAGACGGTATCTCTAGCTGGAATGCTCCTTCCCCAGAGAACCATATGACTAAATTTGTCACTTCCTTAGTCTTTGCTTAAATGCTACTATCTTAATGAAACCTACCCAGACCACCCAATATAAAACTGCAGAAAAAAACAAGAACAGTAACTTTAAATGACATCTGCACCCTCATGTTCATTGCAGCATTATTTACAATAGCCAAGACATGGAAACAACCTAAGTGTCCATCAACAGATGAAAAGATAAAGAAGTTTATCTTTATAAAGAAGTGGCATATATATACAATGGAATATCATTCAGCCATAGAAAAATAACGAAATCTTGCCTTTAGCAACAGCATGGATGGGCCCTGAGGGCATTATGCTAAGTGAAATATGTCAGAGAAAGACAAATACTGTTATGATATCACTTACATGTGGAATATTTTAAAAACAACAAAGAAATAAACAAAAAAACCTCATAGATACAGAGAACAGATTGGTGGTTGCCAGAGGCTGGGGGTCTGGGGTGGGTGAGATGGGTGAAAGTCATCAAAACGTACAAACTTCTACGTTATAAAATAAATGTCATGAGAATGTAAAGTACAGCATGGTGTCTATAGTTAAATAATCCTGCATTATATATTTAAAAGTTGCTAAAAGAATAGATCTTAAAAGTTCTTATCACATACCAAAAAACCTGTAACTATGTTTGGTGATGGATGTTAACTAATGTGGTGATCAGGTCACAATATACACATATATCAAATCATTCTATTGTATACCTGAAACTAACATAATGTTGTATGTCAATTATATCTCAATTTAAAAAAATAAAGTAAGTTAATTGAATGAGGCATTTTTAGCAAAGCATAGTTAGCACTGCCCCAGAGACACTCACCACTGCGTTGTCGTCATACAGCTCCACCACCACTAAAGGCAGGGACCCCATCAACTCCTCTGGTCTCCATAAGGCACCAAGTCATTTAACAGCAGCAACTGGTTCCAGGTGGGGAAGAGGGTCTTGGAAATGACCTGGAAGGCAGAGCTAAATAAATACATAAAATTGCAAACCCTCATCTATCTCTCCAAATAACTCTTTACCCTGCTCTACCGTTTTCTTTTCACATATTATTTATCCCCTTGTAAAATACTGTGTAATTTACTTATTTATTACATCTACTGTTTCTCATCTCCCCCTCCAGAATGTAACCTTCATAAATGTTTGTTTCAATTAGACCCTGAAATAAAGATAGGAATGCAAGTAGTTCATTTGAAAGACAATACCAGAAAGCACAGTGAGGGGTTGGGAAGTGAGAGAGGAAAGTGAAGAAAGTCAATATAGTATGTGATACTGAGCAGGTTACCACTGGAAAAACACACTCCATCCCACCCAGTTCAGAAAGACTGGGTGAGGTGTGGTTCAGAATCATCCCATATCCCTGAGCACTAACTCTACAGTATTTCTAGACTTTCCACATGGCCAAGCTTGCTTCTGTGACTAGAGAACATCCTCAGGCTGAGAGATGCAAGAAGACATCAGCATGTACAGAAACTGTCCGCAAGTGACCCCCCACAAAGATAAGCCAAAGATATATGGGCAGGGACTAATCACCTCACTACCGTAAAAATCTCTGTCCTTCTGTGTACTTGTTTTAATTGATAGATCCCAAAGCTCTAGAAAAGACCCTGTCACATAGTAGGTACACAAAAAAATCTGTGTTGAATATTGTTGAAGAAATAAAAGGTCAAAAATTAAATCACATGAAATGAGAAAATGCTTATAACTAAACAAAAGAGAAAATTCCCACATATTGTAACTTGTGAGATACAGCTAAAATGGTACTTTGAGATAAATGGGTAGTCAGAAATGATTATATTACTAAATAAGAATGGCTAAAAACTAATACAGTAGTCTAAGCATTCAATTTAAGTCATCAAAAAAGAATGATATAGGGATAAATTAGGAATTTGGGATTAACAGATACACACTACTATATATATAAAACAGATAAATAACAAGAACCTACTGTACAGCACATGAAGCTATATTCAATATCTTGATATATGTGTGTATATATATATATATTTATATATACATATATCTGAATCACTTTACTGTAACCTGAAACATTACAAATCAACTATACTTCAATTTTAAAAAAAGAAAAAGAACAATATAATAAGCTCAAAGAAATTCAAATAAAGACGATAAGGACAAAGATTAATTTAAATAGACAATAAAGGTATAATAAAGAAAACTAAATAAGCCATAAGTTGGTTTTTTAAAAAGAATAGTAAACTGACAATCTTAGCAATATTAATCAAGGGAAAAAAAGAAAGAGAAAGAGAAAGCACGATTAAACTAAAATGTGATTAAAATAAGAACACACTACAGATGCAACAGAGAATGAAAATGTAAAAGAATATTAACACTATACCAATCTGAAAATTCCTCTAACAAAATGAATTTAATCAGTAATTAAGCATCTTCATACCCAGATGGCTTTACAGGCAAGTTTCTACCAAATGTTCAAAGAACAAACCATTCTAATTTTGTGCAAACTTTTCTAAAGACTACAAAGGAGGGAATTGTTTAAAGAGGCTATTCAGTTAGTTATTGCGAAATAATGCTTAGTATTTTGTAACCAAATGTGACTGTGTGATATTAGCACAGGAAGAGAAAAATAGATCAATAGAACTCAGCAGACAGCCCAAGGACATACGCATATGTTCTATACATACGTACAAACATCATATGTGATAGAAATAGAGGAACAGGAAGGACCAGGCAGTAAATTGTTCTGGAACAAATGGTTTTTCATATGGAAAAAAATAAATTTGAAGCATGTAAATAAAAAGAGGAAAACTTGAAAATTTTCTGGAAGAAAACATAGGTGAATTTCTTTATGAACTCCAGACAAGGAAGAATTTTTTTTAATAGGACAAAGCAGCGTGGATCCCAAAGGAAAAGACTGATAAATTCAACTACTTTAAAATTAAGGAGAAGTGATTTGCAACACATATAATCCACAAAGGAGTTAAAGAAGAAAATGTACAAATAATAAGAAAAAGAAAAACCTATTAGAAAAATGGGTAAAAAGCAAGCAGACGCTTCACAGAAGCAGAAATACAAATACAAAATTATAAAAGGCACTCTACTCTCATTAGTAATCAGGAAAATGTAAATCAAACCATGAGATTCCATTTTAAATGTACCAAACTGACCAAAAATTTAAAAAGCAAACAATAAGAAGTGCTGACACAAAGGGAATTTTTAATACACTATCGGTGAGAGTATAAATTAATATGACTACTTTGGAAAACAATTTGTCTAGCAAAACATTGTCTAGCAAAAAAAAAAATCTAGAAAAATGGAAATCCGCATGTCCCATGACCCATCAATTTCCACTCCAAAGATTATACTCTAGAGAGTTTTGCATGTACATATTCACCAGGTGACATGTATAAACTTATTAGAACATCACTGTTTTTAACAGCAAGGAAAAGAAAAACTAGAAACAATTCAAATTTTTACCAAGAGGAGAGATGAACTACCAAATGCTCAAAGAACAAATGAATGAACTATAACTACATGCATCAATATGAATAAATCTAAAATTAAAAGTGAACAAAGCGGGGCTTCCCTGGTGGCGCAGTGGTTGAGAGTCTGCCTGCCGATGCACGGGACACGGGTTCGTGCCCCAGTCTGGGAAGATCCCACATGCCGCGGAGCGGCTGGGCCCGCGAGCCATGGCCACTGAGCCTGCGCTCCGCAGTGGGAGAGGCCACAACAGTGAGAGGCCCGTGTACCACAAAAAAAAAAAAAAAAAAGTGAACAAAGCAAGTCTCAGGATACATACAATATGTTTCCTTTCATACAAATGTCAAAAACATGCGAATGTAAGCTATACATTATATGAGAACATAGAGGGTAAGGCTGTAAAGAAAAGTAAGGAAATACTAACCACAAAATTCAAGATTGTAATTATTCCTGGAAGCAGAGGAGGAAGAAGGATACAATTGGAAAGAGGCTCACTGGGCACTTCATAGGTACTGGAACATCCATATATACACATTACTGCCTTAACTATTATTAATTATAAAACATTCCTACTTCACAAGTAATTTCAATACACCAATCCACAAAACAGCAGTTATGGCCTTAGCAGTTGTCTAAAATCACTTGCAGAATATGAAAAAGAATGTATATATATGTATAACCGAATCACTTTGCTGTACAGCAGAAATTAACACTGTAAATCAACTATACTTCAATAAAATAAATTTTTAAAAGAAATAAATAATACAAATAAATAAAATCACATGCAATTACCTAACTGAGATAAACGAAGGAAAGAGGATATGGGGAAAAGAAAACCCTGTCCCCCCATAGTTCTCATACATACTGTGAGCTTAGCCTTCTCAACTCACCATTGATAACATCTCCATAGAGTTCTTGGTATTATAATATACAGAAACCTCTACTAGCTGGATCCTTCCCGACTATTATAGTCAAGATAAAAGGACCTAGAGCAGCATCCTACAGAATCATGTCTTAACCAGACATATGCCCTGTAGGGATGCAACGTATTACACAGGCATATAAAAAAAAAAACATTTACAATATTTTACCCTATATTTGAACTACCCTATATTTGAATTACCTAAGACTTAAGTCTTATGTAACAGTATGCCAATTAGATTCAGTCTATTTTTAGAAATTCATATCAGAAGGTATTAAACTAAGAAAATTTGCTATATCAAAATAATGGCTGTAGGATGCAGCTGGGCAGCTCTCATATTATTATAGTAATAAAAGGCATCAGGTTTGTCAGTTTCTTTTAATGTTAAGTTTGACACTTACTTATAGAGCTAAGAATTCATCTACCCTGACACAGCAGTTCCACACCTACATATTTACCTAAGAGAAATGAAAATGTATGTTCGTGAAAAATATATCCATTATGTCCATAAAAAGACTTGCTCAAGTAGCTCTTCACATAACAACCAAAAACTGCAAACAATTCAAATGCCCATCAACAGAAGACAGAATAAACAAATAGGGCTATATTTACATAACTAAATACCACTTAAAATTTTTTAATTAACTACTGATACACATAACAATGTGAATGAATTTTAAAATTGTATATATAACAAAAGAATCCAGATACAGAGTATACACTACATAATTCCATGTATATGAAATTCAAAAGAATTCAAATTCAACCTAAAGTGATTGAAATCTTAGTAATGGTTGCCTATAGGTTTGGGAATTAATTGGAAATAAGCACAAGGAAACTTTCTGGAGTGACAGAAATGTTCAGCATCTTCATTGCAATTGTGGTCATATGGGTCATTTATCAAAACTCATGAAATCATACACTGAAGGTCTGTTCATTCCTCTCTCTCTTTCACTATTTATAACTATACCTATATCTACATCTATATATAGTTAAGCTGTTTAGTTAAGATAAGAACAAAATCTGAAGTCAAATATAAGATATTGGGTAGCTCCACATGTGACTCTGTGTTGTATGAAGTACACCACTCAAAAACTGGAATCTGGCCCTATTACAACACCCTCCCCTACCTCCAACTGAACACACACACACACACACACACACACACACACACAGTTCAGTAAGTGTTTCCAGATCCAGGCAAGAAATTTAGTGACTGCCTATTGAGAAATGAACAAAGGTATAAATGGCTACAGCTTTCTTAGCAAGAGAAATAAAATTAAGCCCCACCATGTACTTGGAAGCTGATATTTTGATTTGTTGACATAAAATCCTTTGGACAATCATACTCTATCTTCAAACACTGTGTTCCTTTGCTGTTTTAGTATTTCTCATTATGTTGGGGATCAAATTTTAGCAGCATTTAATTTCACTTTTATCAAGGAAAGTATCATGTCAGCTGAACTGATATGAGTAACCTGGTTAACTAGGGGTAGAGGAAGTAGAACCCATATGAGGGCACATAGAAAGTCCTGTGCCCTCAAATGTAACTGTGCTTTCATTACAGAG